GTTGCCGCATACCCCATCAGCAGGCCACTGCTGGTTTGGTTTCCTGCGCTGGTAGCCTGCATTGCTAAAAAGGGAGCCCGGTATTTCTATTGAAGCCAGCATAATTGAAGATGCTAATTTCTCCACCATCCCAGGACAACGCCTGAGTTAGGCGACATGGCTCTGCCGCAGGGATTCAGCCTGGAGCGAAGCGGCTGCTCGCTGACCTCCCGCCCCGCTTGCTCTCCCCGGCGTTGGGCTGTCGGGAGGGGAGGCGTTAATGCCTTACCCGTGCCACCAGAAGGAGAGACTTGGTGGCCCCCTGTGTTCACACATATCTCTTTTATCTGTCAGCACACGCGCAAGCCCTTTCCAGCAGGCAAGCTCCTGGCCGCTGCCTCCCCAACTTCAGGTGCTGCTCACCTGCACCCATGCTCCAGCAGCTGGGCCAACGTGCCAAGCCAGCTGCAAACCATCCCTGCGTCAAAAGGGAGCAAGCCTTCAGCTGTGATTCTGTGTAAGCTTACAGCTGGCATAAAATGGCACGGCCACTCACAGCCCTGGGGCCCTTGGTTCCCCCCCCCGCCCAGGAGAACATGGGCTGCTATGCCAGGAGTCAGACCAAGGGAAATAAATGCTTGTTTCAATGCAGATCGCTTTGTGTATTCAAAGCACTATGCAAATATGAGCCAGTCTTTTATTACTATGTCCTTGTTAATACACATACATAAGATGACTCAGTTTTAAGTATTTGTAGCATGGCTGAAAGATGTAGCTGGGAATACATCTTCTCCATCTTTATTAAAGCTGTTTTTCAACCCAACTGTCAATACAAATGTCCTGAAGTTGCTCTAGTTGATTAAATATTATGATTGAACATGTAGAGGATTTCAATTAATCATGCCTTCGGAAAAACAAAATCTTTGCGCTCTGAATGGGTATTTTTAATTTTGTATTGTTAAGAGAGAATATGAAATAATCTAGTCCCGGGTGGCAATATCTTTATACAACAGAAGGATTCGTTGCCTTACTACCCAGTATAAACTGGGTTCATTCCCGCTCCCAGTATAAACAGAAATATTGCAACAGGCGGGCTTGCCTCTTATTTTTCCTCTGGGGTTCACAGAGGAGAATTTTTCCCAGTAGGATTCAGTCCTGCATTTGTTTCTGGAAAACCTCAGCACTGAGTTAGAAATCTCTGTGAGCAAAGCAGCTCTCGCCAGGTCCCGCTCCAAGGCCTTGTGCCCTTTGGAGGGGAGCAATGCCCAGGCAGGTCCCAGCCCAGCTACGGCCAAAGTAGGGGAGAGCGATGGTGGTTGGAAGCTCGTGGTTTTCTAGGTAACACATTGCCACCTAGCAGCACTTAGCAAAAGTAGCACAAACCCGACCTTCGGTTCCATAAACAACAGTTTGCCTCACTTCTGTTTTTATGGCATTGCATCGTTCACGACGTGACGATTAGAATAGGATATACTAAGTGCAGACTGAGGACTGTAGGAAAATGAACAGATGAATGGGGATCTTTGAAAACAGACACTGAAGACCCCTTATGGGTTGTAACTTCCAGCAGGATGGTGACACTAGGCCCTGCATGTTTGACTGTACTGTAAGAAGAAA